GGCACAGGTAAACCTGGTTTCACGAGGCATACCTGTGCTGATCAAGAAAGGCTTCTTTGTCGGTGCGTCACGTCCAGACTGCCCCGATCTGCCGACAAACAGCTGATCGGCAGAGCGGGGCAGCCATTTAAATTTAAATGAAGCTGCGATTATTTTAATCGCGGCTTCATTTCCCTCTGCCGATCTGTCTAATCTACATGCCTCCGTCGACGGAGGCATGTAGTTTAGACGTACCCTGAGGGTGCATCTCCACTGCACTCTTACTCGAAATAAAGCGCTATTCCGAAACGTCCTTTGGCCCTCGTGGAACGAGCATGTCAGGGACGCTGAAATAACATGCTCATTATTTCTAAATCTATTTCAAAATAAAGGGTGCACTCAAAAGATGCAGAATAGCTATTTCGGGATACTTCTGGTATCCCGAAATAATGCCGCAGTGTAGACATAGCCTGAGTGAAAATAGTAGAATATATTGCTCTCTTTTTTTGGATTTGTTTGCTATAAATTCACAGGGGTATCAGTGTTGTTTGCATGTGTAGGCTTTTTAGGTAGGAATTTCACTGCCTTTTTACCATTGAGAGACTAAAGAAAAAGGCTTTCCTTAAGAAGTGGGTTGTGCCCACAAAAGCTCAAGATACCTTCTACATTTTTGTTAGTCTCTAAGGTGCTGCAAGACTATTTCTTAAGTTTATTTAAAAAAAGGGTTCATTGACTATGATGGAAGCCATTTTAGTTACATACATATGCAAATGTGTCTTCCTTTCATCTTTCCCCCAAGACAAAAAGGAAAGGAAAAGACTTGCATTTATGCCCTGGGGAAATGGGTTTGGAAGGCAGTTGTGTAATTATATCTGCAGGAATTGACATGAACTGATCCGGCTGTTTATGTCCCTGATTTCCAGTGATTTAAGTAAACTACGCTGTTTGCAGAGGGAGTGTTAAACATACCTGCAGATCCCTGCCAGTACCTGCCCTACTGCCTGAGGTAGCCTCGCTAGTGGCAGTGTTCTGCTTTCCGTGGTGCATCGCTTTTCGAAAACCCCAGACCGACTTGACACCTTCCGTGTGAAATCATTGCTCGACCACATGCAAAGCGACGTGTTCCACCTGAGAGCCATGCGTTGACTTGCAGGGCCTCATTCTTGATCTCTTTGCAGTCCTTTGGAGCCTTTCTGTCAGTGGACTTGTGCTTTTCTCTCGACTCGTTTTTCCACGTTCTTAGACTGAGGCCAGCAGTAATTGAGAACCTTTTCACAAGAGGCGAGGGGCAACCCTGTGATTTGAGTCTTTTCACGGGAGGGTCCTCGTTAGGGCCGGAGCCTGTGGCATTCCCAGGGCGTGGGAGATCTTCCATTTGAAACATATAGGTTCTGCATCTCGGAAGCAGCCTCGGAGAGTCTGAGTGACTCGTGTCGAAAGCCTTTGTGGACACAGTGAGACACCGCCCCACGCTTGCACACCCAAGTGTAGACCTCGCCCCTGGAAAGCTCTCGTGCATGTGCCTGTTCCATCCCGGTTCAACAGAGCACTTACACGCTTACCCTTCCAGTCCCCCCCACCGGCTCGGGAAAGCGCCTGGGTCTTGCAGCCAGCCCAGTGGTTGGTGAACAAGGACGGTTTCCTCAGGGGAGCCCCCAGAATAAAGGACCCCCCCGGGATGTCACCCGGGAGTTGGCACACAGGTGGGGTGCTGAGTTGTATGGGCCTGGGGTGCCCGGGCTGCAGGAATATTCTCCACCAACGTTGGGGGCCTCGGTTGCTCCTGGGCCATGCGCCTGGGTCTTGCAGCCAGCCCAGTGGTTGGTGAACAAGGACGGTTTCCTCAGGGGAGCCCCCAGAATAAAGGACCCCCCCGGGATGTCACCCGGGAGTTGGCACACAGGTGGGGTGCTGAGTTGTATGGGCCTGGGGTGCCCGGGCTGCAGGAATATTCTCCACCAACGTTGGGGGCCTCGGTTGCTCCTGGGCCATTTGAAATCCCACGGGGCCCCCAGCCACCGGCAACGCCGTGGGGCTAGAACGG